CCTGGAACTCACTTGGTAGCCCAGGCTGTCCTCGAACTCACAGAGATCCGCCTGGCTCTGCCTCCCGAGTGCTGGGATTAAAGGCGTGCGCCACCACCACCCGGCTTGGTGTGGAACTCTTTATAGACCAGACTGACTTCTAACTCTGTTCTGAACTCCCAAGGACTGGAATTAAAGGTTTGTGCCAGTGGAGTAATTTAATGGGTGACTGTCATGTAATTAATTTGGTTCATCAGTTGATATGTTTTGTGCTAGAAAAGTTAAGTTATTTATGAATTAAGGTAAGTTTTCCTTTTCCTTTTTCTTTTTTGCTTAAGAGTAAGATTCAGAATAGCCTGGAGTTCTGTGATGTGGGAATTAAGACCATTTCTGGAGAGTTTACGTCCCCTTTTATTTACCAGTAGACACAGTGCGTCATTCAGTTACTCATATTCATGAGCATGTGCCAAAAAGAGAACAAGATTCATTAAAGATAACAGATATTGGCATTTTAAATCTGACCACTTACGTCTAAGATTCTCTAACTAGATATTTAAATGGAATTAAATGAAATTAAATATCACCCATTAAATGGACAATATTTAAATAGAATTCTCTAATTTTAAATTTAAACATTAAATGGAAGATATTTAAATCATAACCAAATAGCCATTTTACCTTTCGAACATGCATGTATTAAAGTTGCAGGTTGGCGATAGAAATTGAAAGTATTTTACTTTGAATTAAATATTCTTTTTTCTTCAGTTAGGAGTTAATGAGAAAATAGTTTTCAGTTAATGTTTTCTTTTCTTTCCTAGAGTTCTCATAAGTACATCTTAAAGCCTTCAAGATGGTTCTAGCAGATCTTGGAAGAAAAATAACGTCAGCATTACGCTCATTGAGCAATGCCACCATTATCAATGAAGAGGTATGAAAATGCAATGTAAGATACATTTGCTGGTATATTGTTACTGGGATTAGAGAGCTGGACTAAATGATGATCTTTAGAGTTGTGATTGAATTTGATGTAGATTTAACATTGTAAACACGCTATAACAGTAAGGAGTGCATTTGATGTAGATTTAATACTGTAAACACGCTATAACAGTAAGGAGAGCTTTTTATTGAAAAATCAACTACCCTGTTGTCTTACCTTTTTTTTTTTAACTGAAATTTATTTTTAATTATGTGTATGTCTGAGTGAGGTTGTATGCATACCAGTGTAGGTGCCCAGGGAGGCCAGAAGAAGCTGGGTCTGGGAGCTCAAGTTTCAGGGGTTGTGAGCTGCCCAAGTGCTAGGACTCAAACCGGGGTCCTCTGGAAGGGCAGCAAGGGCTCTTAACCGCTGAACCCTCCCTCCTGCCTTTATTTCATCTTACTAGTCAGAACTTAAACAGCGGAAAAAACCCTACCTTTAGTGTGTGTGTGTGTGTGTGTGTGTGTGTGTGTGTGTGTGTGTGTGTGTGTGTGTACACACACACACACACACAAACATAAACCAAACCCAAACAAAATGGTGCAGCTTTTGAAATACTTGAATCTGGAAATGTAGTTTGCTGCTCTGTCTCAACATAGAACTAAGACTTCTTGGGCTTCTTTCTCCTTGGTAGACATGTGCTTACCTGTTTTTTTTCTGTATCGTTCATTCAGCATTCTTCATATAAAAGAGGAGCACTTTTGCCTTAATATGGCGGCATTACCGCAGGGAGGCTGAGGCAGGTCAAGCCAGGGAGGAAGAGCTTTTCTCCCTTACTTCCTCAGAGAAGGTTTTTCTGCTGATTCTGATGACAAATCATAACTGAAACCATGATCATATCTGAAATAGTCTTTCTGGATTTATAGGGGTTTTCTAGATTTATTTATTTAATTTTATGTGTTTTTTAGACTTTTGTGTGTTTTTAATTTTATGAGTGTTTTGCCTGTTTGTATGTCTATGCAGCTTGTATGTGCCTGATGCACAAGAGTCAGAAGAGGGTATTGGATCCCCTGGAACTGGGGTTATGGATGATTGTGAGCCACCATGTTGGTGCTGGGAACCTGTCTTAGTTACTTGTCTATTGCTGACCAAAGTAACTTTCTTAAAAAAGAAAGTGTTTAGCTGTGTGATAGTAGCACATGTCTTTAATCCCAGTACTCAGGAGGCAGAGATGGGTGGATCTCTGTTCAAGGCCAGCCTGGGCTACAGAGTGAGTTCTAGGACAGCCAGGAGTACACAAAGAAACCCTGTCTCAAAAAACCAAAAAAGAAGGAAAGTTTAATATGGGGCTCACAGTTCTGACCATCATGGTGGGGAGCATGGCAGTCAGGGAGGCATGCACTGGGGCAGTAGCTGAGAGCTTACATCTAATTCACAGGTATAAAGCAGAGTCAGACGGCCTGCTGTGGCCCTCATAGCTCCTCCACAAGGCCACACCTCCTCCACAAGGCCACACCTCCTCCAACAAGGCCACACCCCCTAAACAGCCCATAGCCCACCAACTGGGAACCAGACATTCAAATATATGAGCCACAGAACTGAACTTGGATCCTTTGGAAGAGCAGAAAGTACTCTTAGCCACAGAGCTAGCTCTCCAGTTCAGTGGTATTAATAGTTTTTAAGTTGAAGATATTGTGTCTCTCACTCTCCTATCTACTCAATGGCTTGTTGCTATTGTATCTTAATGATTTGTTATTTGAAGGCAGATGATTATAGTCCATGGTATTCTTTCTAGTTTGTAGTAACAATGAAAAAGTTTTAAGTTTAGCCGGGCAGTGGTGGCGCATGCCTTTAATCACTCAGGAGGCAGAGCCAGGTGAATCTGTGAGTTTGAGTCCAGCCTGGGCTACAGAGTGAGATCCAGGAAAGGCGCAAAGCTACACAGAGAAACCCTGTCTTGAAAAACCATTAAAAAAAAAAGGAAAGAAAGAAAGAAAGGAAGAAAGAAAGAAAAAGAAAGAAGAAAGAGTTCTGAGTTTCATGTTAGAATCCCTGGCTAAAGGTCCCACATTAGCCGTTTCATAGTTGTGTGATCGAAATGTGAGTGGACCCTTTAATGTACAAAATGTGAAAGTGGCATTTACTTTAAGAATTTTTTTAATTAAATGAACTAATACATCAAAACTATTCTAAGTTGAGTTGGAGAGATGGCTCATCCATTAAAGACTAAGCTCACTACCAAAAGTTTTCTGTATTTGAAGTTTCAGGAAAGATTCTAATACAGAATTTAATAATCAGTATTTTTAAAAACTAATGAAATGGGGCTGGAGAGATGGCTCAATGGTTAAGCACACTGCTTGTTCTCCCAGAGGTCCTGAGTTCAATTCCCAGCAACCACAAGGTGGCTCACAACCATCTACAATGAGATCTGGCGCCCTCTTCTGGCGTGCAGGCAGAACACTGTATACATAATAAATAAACCTTAAAAAAAAAACAAACCTAATGAAATAATTTTAAGACTGTCTTACTTAGAAATTACTTAGACTATTTAACAGAAATGGAAAGTTAGTTCAGATTTTTTTTTTTACTGGAAGAGAATCTTTTCCCCTAATTTCCTCCATGAAGGTTTCTCTAATAATTCTTACTAATATTAAATCACAATTTAAGTTGTTGCTTAATCTTACTATCCATAATGACTAAAACAAGAGCTTTCTGAATAACAACAGGCACCAAAACTATACAGAGAAACCCTGTCTCAAAAAAATCCAAAAACAAAAGAATGAAATTGTTATGATTAATACTTGGTTATTAATACTTGTGCAAAACTAAATGTCATGCCTTATTTTGATAGAATGACTGAACATTTAATATTTTCTCTCCAAAGGTAATTAAAAATCTTTTCTCATCTCCAATAGTGTGGTATAGCTATATCTTTATTAAGCTACAGTAGTATATGATACCTGATCAACCATTGTTTTTATGTTGCTGAAGTAAAACATTAAGCATATTTCAATTTTATTTATTTTCAGGTATTAAATGCTATGCTAAAAGAAGTATGTACAGCATTATTGGAAGCAGATGTTAACATTAAACTAGTGAAGCAACTGAGAGAAAATGTTAAGTAAGTTGAATTAATTTGTGTTAAAAAACAGGACAAACCACGTTTGGTTTCCTGGGATTGAGGAGGTGACTAGGAAAGCTTGCTTTGTTATGAAATACTGTTACACAGCACTGGAATGATGCAGTACTCGTGTGTCAGAAAACTGCCCGGGGAACAGGGTGTGATGGCTCATGCCTGGGGACAGGGTGTGATGGCTCATGCCTGGGGGACAGGCAAGAGAAGTTCTGAGTCCAGCCAGCTTTAGTTATATATGAGTCTCAGGTCAGCCTTGGCTGAGAGATTGAGATGAAGGGAAGAAGGAGGACTGTATTTCCATAATGGTGGTTCAGTGAACAAGGATAACTTCATCTCGTTGTAGATTTTCTTCTGTCTTTTGTATTTGGTGGGTTCAGTCATTTACTATAGCTAAATGGGATACAACTCTAACGTAAAGGCTTTTTAACAATTCAGGTTTTTTTCATGAAATTGTGGTAAGATTACCTGAGTCAGCCTTCTTCATGATGAAAGAATCATATTCTCTTTTGTTCTCCATTGTGGTTTCTCTGTCCTTGTTTGAAGGAGTACTGTGTGGTCTTGGGGAGAGGCATGTGGATGGGCATCTAGAGCATCTAGGCAGCTCTGATAACTTCCTGAATCCCAGTGCTAGCATTCCTTCTTTGCGTTGATAGTCTGGGAGGGTACAGAACTACGAGCATTTAAGAACTTAGAACTAGAAAGTCTCTGTGTATAAAGTTTATAAGCTTCAAGAAAAATAAAATTAATATTTGTAGTTATAGCCAGAGAAATGACTACTTATGCATTGAACTGAAACCCTTGAAAAACTAACCAAAGTTTTACATCTGGTATTTTATGATATAATTCTTTGTGGTATAGTCTTATGAATCTGTTATAATTATATGAGTGTCAATTAGATTATTAATATGAATGATTGAGTACGCTTATGTTCTGTGAGGTAGAAATACTTTCAGATTACCTTAACGGACTTTTCTTCTTACCCCAATTGTCACTGTTATGAAGGTCTGCAATTGATCTTGAAGAGATGGCATCTGGTCTGAACAAAAGAAAAATGATTCAGCATGCTGTATTTAAAGAACTTGTAAAGGTAAAAGTGTATCAAGAGTATGATCCCATCGAACACAGCTTTTGAGTTCCTTCTAACGTATTTTATGGACAGTTCATCTGTACTGAAATATAAATTTCAGTGAGCTGGCAGAGGTGTCTGCTTCTAAGACTGACAGCCTGAGGTTGACCCTGGAACCTGTGTGTGGAGGGAGAGGACCAGCTCCTTCCTCTAGCTCTTCCCTGACTTTCACATAACATTTGTGTGTGGGTCTGGTGAGATGGTTCAGCAGTTAAGAGCACTTGTTGCTCTTGCAGAGGACCTGGGTTCCATTCCTAGCACCCACACAGTGGTTCACAACCATTCATAACTCCAGGGGATCTGATGCCCTCTTCTGGTTGCCACAGGCACCACATGGTATATACATACATGCAGGCAAAACACACATAAAATGAATAATATAAAAAATTAATACAAGAGCTGGGAGGCGGTGGTGCACACCTTTAATCCCAGCATTCGGGAAGCAGAGGTAGGCGGATCTCTGGCTTTGAGGACAGCTAGGGCTATGCAGAGAAATAATGTTTTAAAACAAAACAAAACAAAAAAATTAATGACAAAACAAAATAGATAAAAATTGTTTGAAAAACCATATTTGTATGTATGTGTGTGTCTGTCTGGATATGTGCATGTGTTTCTGGTGCCTGTAGTTGGGTATCTGTCACAGGCTTTGGATTTCCCTGGAGCTGGAGGTACAAGTGGTTGTGAGTTACCTGATGTAGGTGCTGGGAGGTGAAATTGGGTCCTTTGTAAGAGTTATCCTAAACTCAGGAGCATCAAGAACTTGACTGGGAAGCATTTGTTGAGTAGCTTCTTTATTCTAGGCAGTTTGTCGGGTGGACAGCAGAGAATGTACTGGTCTTATCTCAGAGAAGCTTATAGTCTAGAACAATGTATACAAGCAAAGTGAAAACTGCTTCGTAGTCATACTAAAGCATTCTTTAGTGTGTCCTGCTGGGGAGTGAGCCTAGGAACTCACACATGTTAAGCACATGCTCCGTCATTGAATTATACCTCTAGCTCCCACTCTGCCTTTTTTACACAGCCTGACAATGTTGTTTTAAACAAAATTTCAATGGTTTGATTTTACCAGTGAAAACTCTGGAGCCAGCTGCTGGGGTGAAAGTCTACTCGCTCAGAGAGGCAGAGAAAGCAGCAGTGTGACCTTCCTCCTCAGCCGCTGTCTCACATCTCCAAACAGATGTCCCTCCCTTCTACTTCCTGTGCCTCTCAGGCCTCCTGACTCTCCCTTACTCTCTACGTCTTTCTTAACCCTGTGTTCACTTCCTGTTAACTCGTTGCTGGCTCTGCCTCTTAACCTATGGATGACTTTATTTAATCCTGTTTATAATATTTAAGCAGAAAGCCTTTGGATTAAAGGTGGTGTGTGCTAGGACTGAACCGCATCACAAGTAGAAACAGGTTTTTGCAGTAAATAATGAAATTTGGGGTTCACAGTGTGATCAGATATCCTGCAACATGATAGCTTGCTATCATGAATCAAGACAGTAACAGCAGCTGAACCCGGTGGCGCGTGCCCTTAATCCCCTTACTTCCTCCCTCCATCTTTCTCTACATTCTCCTCCATTCTCTGTATATCATGGCAGAATCAGTCAGCTGTCTGTTTTTACTGAATAATTTCTAAATCTTCTCTTCCTCCCACATACTAAAACAGGAAGGCAGAGGCAGCAGGTGCATCTCTATGAAATTGAGGTTAGTCAGCCTACATATTGAGACTGTTGCATACAACAAACAAAAAGACAGTAATACCAACTAAACTGTATTGCTAGTGACTGTACACTTTACCAGCAAACACTTAAAATGCCAGCTTTTATTTAAGTCCTTCATAAAGTTGTAGATAGTGATTGTATTACATTGTGACTGTTGACTTTGTGTATGTCTTTTTAAGGTTCTGTGGATGAAATGGGAAGTATATGTTCTCTGCTGTACTCTCAAAGCCTCTTAAAGCTCAGCTCAGTTGCAAACTGAAGTCTCTGCTGCCTGCAGAGAACACCATTTTATGTAAATGAGCAATTAGCATATAATCTGGTTATTCTGACCTGGATTTAATTTGGCAGAATTATTTCCCAAAGTGAAGTGAACTTGTCACTTTAAGGAAAACAACTGACAATATTATAGCTGGTGGTAAAATTCAAGATAAAATTATATGTGAAAATATATGACCTTTTTTTGATGAAATTAGTACTGATATTAAGTCAAGGTTTTTAATGTTAAATGAGTAATAATGTGAGGTTTACATAACTCAGTAAACTAGTGTTTTAAGTGACTAAATGAATGGTGTTAGAGAATCATGCACTAGGATGGATAATACCTGTGCTAAGTATAGGGTAAGGTCAGTTTCAGTACAGGAGATTGGAGGTTTATATGGTTTTAGATTATACATTGCAGCTCACCCTTAAAAATGAGTGTGTTCATAAAGGATTTTCATACTAAAAGGTTGGAGACTTGTTTCAGAGTGTAGGAGGAAGAGAAGATAGATTTCTAAAATGTTCAGCAATAATAGACAGCTGAGTTACGCTGCCGTGAGCTATATAGAGCAGAGGTGAGCGTAGGGCGGCAGCCCTTCTGTACTGAGAAGATAATGGGAGAAAGCGAAGTGGGTTTGGTGTAAGACAGGTTTTGCCCATTTTAGAAGTTGTTCCAGAGTTGTGTAGATGTTTGGAAAAGGGATAGAAAGTGTGTTGTGATTTCTTTTCCCTTCTCTTTACCAGTCTTCCCTGAAACTCATGTGTAATACCTGGATGGTACTGTCTGGATGAGTGTGGCAGACGTCCTCATAAGGGTTTAGATATCCTGAACCACGCAGTGTCTGTTGCAGTTTTTCAGCTCTGCGTTTGAAATGCAAAGACAGTAATGAGTGGACATAGCTGTGTTCCACTAGAGGTTTATTTCCCCCCAGGTTTGACGGTTCACCCTGTAATCTGAGCAATCAGGAGCTGCAGCAGCGGTTCTAGAGCAGCCTGGGCTACAGAATGAGAGCTTGTTTAAGCCAAATAATAACAGTAATAATGGTAATAATTTAGTTTGTAAGCCTCTGGTCTAGTATTAATAATAATATCTAATATTAACTATGATTATGGAGTTATCATGTACAGATAAGTATTTCAGGCTCCGAATAGACTTAAATTTGAATTATGTTTTTCAACAAACTTTTAGAATGCCTTGTGCTTGGAAAGCATGGTAGTGTGTGCCTGTAACAACAACAACAATAATAGTATAATTCTAGGATTTCAAGAGATAGGAGGAGGAGGATCAGGAGTATTTGGCTAGCCTCAGCTACATAGTGAGGTCAAGGCCAGACTAGGTAACGTGAGACTCTGAAAAATGAAACAAGAGCACAGGAGCCCTGTGTTTGTTTGGGGACTGTCCTGTGTGACTCTTTCCCACTGACCCATTGCTGTAAAATTCTCTTTTCCACCCCTGCTTCCTTTAGGAAATAGCTTTATAGATCTTTTGGCATTAGAAACTTTACTGTTTGAATTAGAAGGTATCTTCATGTGCCATTTATCATTTTGCTTCATATATACATTTGTGAAATTGAACATAAATACCAGTATGGAAGCTTCTAGACACATGGTTATTGAGCACTTGTAATGTGTCTAGCTAAACTGTAAAGTTATTTGAGCAGGAAATACACACTAATTTAAATACAAAGAGGGAGATGGTGATAAACAGAAATGGCAAAGTGCATGCCTTGCTATGTGAGTCCCTAGCTCTATCCCGACCAAAGTTAGCTTTAATTAATTAAACTTTTCTTTTCTTTCTTTCTTTTGAGACAGGGTTCTCTGTGTTGCTCTGGCTGTCCTGGAACTCAGTCTGTAGACCAGGCTGGCCTTGAACTCACAGAAGTCTGCTTGCCTCTGCTTCCTGAGTGCTGGGGTTAAAGGCGTGTTCCACCACTGCCAGGCAACTTTTTCTTTTTAATTTAAAAGGAAAGACAAATTTAAAAAGTATACACTGGCTGGAATTGAAGACTTGGTATATGAGAAAAGAAATATGAAATATCTCATATAGATTACATGCTGAAATGATAACATTTGGGAAATAAAAATGTATCAGGCTAAATAATAAAATATTTTATTTTATATACTACGAAAAACCCTCAAAACTACATTCATTCATTCATTCATTCATTCATTCATTCATTCATTCATTCATTCATTGTGTGTGTGTCTGTGTCTGGCATGTTGAACATGTATACCATGTTCAGCAGTTTAAGGCTGATTCCCTCCATTATGTGGGTCCTTTATTTATTTTGTGTGTGTGTGTGTGTCTGTCTGTGTAGGGAGTTGGCTGTTTCCCTCCATCATCTGGGTTCTTCCTTCCTTCTTTCCTTCCTTCCTTTCTTTCTTTCTTAATTTTTTTTTTTTTTTGTGTGTGTGTGTGTGTGTGTATATGTGTGAGTCTGTCTGTGTAGGGAGTTGGCTGTTTCCTTCCATCATGTGGTTCCTTACGATTGAACTCAGATTGTTATTGTTACCTTTGCCTGTTGAGTCATTCCACTGACCCCCAAATTTGAAGTTTATATGGCGTCCACAGGTACATTTGTTTTACATTTATGTAGTTGTGATACAGATTGTGATGTAGACGAGCTCCTTACCTCTAAATTGTTTTGATGTGAAAGGCTTGAGTATGACTTCAACACTACAGTATTTTATAAAAGTCTTCAGTTTCCCTCTGCATGAAGGGGGCTGGTGGAGTTGTTTGTCTAAGAGTGTTGGGGTTATGGTGCTTTTTATAACATCGTAGGATTTTTGAATGTCCCGTGTTCGTCCGACATTTTTATCTTTGGTCTCCAGCTTGTAGACCCTGGAGTTAAAGCATGGACCCCGACTAAAGGAAAACAGAATGTGATCATGTTCGTTGGCTTGCAAGGGAGCGGTAAGACGACTACATGTTCAAAGGTAAGCACTGAAGAGTGTCTGTGTAAGAAGTGTTTGTACAGTTTCGTTTTCAGGCCAAGCTGTCTGTTGTTGTTCATAGTTTTGTTATGTGGTGTGTCTTCTCGGCTTTTGTAATATTTTCGTAGGACATAGAGTAGACTCCTGTAGTCAGTCTCCTGTGATATTTGTCAGAATGTTAGACTTGTAAGCCAGGTGTGGAGATGCTCACCTGTAGTCCCAGACTGTTGTGGAGGTGGGAGGATCAGGAGTTCAAGATCATCCTCAGCTACATAGTGAGTTGGAGGTCAGCCTGAACTATATGAGACCACCTCAGAACAAACAGCGAAAAATAATGTTAATTCTGGTTCTTTTGAAAAAAGAAAAGGCAACTCCTGTCCTTAAGGAATGTGAGTATGGCCAGATGTAGTGGAGGAAGGCGGGTGGATCTTTGTGTTGAGGCCAGCCTGTTCTGTGTTACTTCCAGGCCAGCCACAGCTGCCGGAGAGAAAGAGAGGAGAGTGTAGGACAAGAGAGCTCGCGTGCACACAGTGATTTTTTTTTTTTAATTGAAGAAAACTAGGGAATTGACTTTCCCTTGTGACACAAAATTTCCCTTTGAGTGTCCCATTGTTTATGATACTGCCTTTTATCTTACATATCCTTATGTTAATTTGTCGTTTCTTATATGACCCTCTTGTCTATGATTGGGTCCCCACAAGTGTCAGCCATGTTGTAGTTGAAGGGCAGGGGTGATAGTTGTTTAACAGTGATTATTGCTGCCCTATTACCTTACATTTATCGAATGAGAATTAGGATTTAAACTCTTTGCTATACCTCAAAACATTTAATATTACATTTAAGAGAATTATGAGCAGTTTTACTTTACTTCTTAGATAAATAAGATTAAACAAAAGTTATATACAAAATGATTTGTTTTCTGATACTTTATCTTTAATCTTCCTTTCCCAGTTAGCATATTATTATCAGAGAAAAGGTTGGAAGACCTGTTTGATATGTGCAGACACATTCAGAGCAGGTAGGATGTTGAAATTAAATTTTTCTTCTTCTTTTGTATTTTTTATTGTCACATTTGAGGCTTCATTAATTCTTTATCTCTTAGGAGCTTTTGACCAGCTAAAACAGAACGCCACAAAAGCAAGAATTCCATTCTATGGAAGGTAGGTTACTATCATTTTTATTTTTGGTTTTTTGGCTTTTTGAGACTCAGTCTCAGTTTTAGTTCAGTCTGACCTGGAAAACTAGCAGTCCAGGTAATCCTTTTGTAATCCTTGTAATTACAATTGTAATCCTTTTGTCTCAGTCTTCTGGGTGCTGGGCTCACAGGTGTGTGCCACCATATGTGGCTTCCTTTTTAATTCTTCATCATTTAACAGTATGTAGTCAGGGCCTGACAACCTGAGTTTGACTCCAGGAAGCATGGTGGAAGGAGAGAACCAACTTCTAAGGTTGCCCTTTGACCTGCACATATGTCCTGTGGCACATCTATGGGTGGGTGTGCTCACGTGTACGTGCGTGCACACACACCTACGGAAATATATCTTTTTTTTTTTTTGGTTTTTCGAGACAGGG